TTACTCGTTACTGATTCTAAAAAGTAACGCTTTACCGTTATTTGAAAAGTAACGATAAAAAATCGTTACTTTCCGTTACTTTTGTAAAAAAAAAAGTTAAAATCGGCTTATAAAACGAATAGTAAGAGAGACAGTACATAAATTATACATATATAAAGACAAAATATAAGATATTTAAGCGGAAAGCACACATTCTTGTATAACGACATAAAACTCATTCTACATTAGTTGCAAATCGCAAGGTCGCAAAGAAATTGACTAATCATAGTCGATTGTTCTTCTTGCGATCAAAGAATAATCAATTATGATTGGTCAATTTCCTTGCGATCTTGCGATTGCGAGTCATTTTGAATTTCGACAATCTGAGGTCAGATTCCCAAGAGTTAACAAAAATATGTATTCACAAAAATGGCGACCTTACGGTTCGACGATACTCAAAGTGATTGGTCAATTCTTACGGTACGTTACTGTTATATCAATTCGTGTGCGGCGTCCCTTAACCCTTTCCGGCATAGTGTACCGTATACTGGACACTTTTTTGCCCTTAGTTTTTTATATTTTTTACATAGGTTTCAACACATCTATACAGTGAAAAGCACATTATCAGTTATGTAGAACATCAGTTGTCTTTAAACAATTTTGAAAATATTCTTATTGTTGAGAAAATGTATTTTATAAATAAACAAACTACAAAAATACGGGTGTATATCAGTTGGACACGGGGCAGTTGGACACAGTCCAATCACAAGTCGCTGTTCCAAGGAAACCCAAATGTCTTTAATCATACGGTGCTGTGATTGGCTGTGTCCAAATGCACCGTGTCCAAGTGCACTGCTCCCCAAAAATACTGCTTTTTTATACAATAAATGTAATTGTGACTAACCAACAATAATTAATAAGCTGAAAATAAGGTCTAAGGGATTTTTGGGGTCGCTGATTACGAATCCGGAGTCAGATTTTCAAAATTCAAAATGGCGGATTCAATATGACGGACGAATTTTTAAAAAATTATCAGATTTCTATGAAACTTGGTATTTAAGGGTTTCTTGGGTCGCTAATTACGAATCCGGAATCAGATTTTCAAAATTAAAAATGGCGGATCCAATATGGCGGGCGAATTTTAGAAAATTATAGTATTTGTATAAAACCTAGTATCTAGTGTTTTTTGGGTCGCTGATCAAATTTTCAAAATTAGCATTGTCAGCTCTGAATAACGCTAAAACGATATTTTAGCAAGATAATATTTTCTATCTTTTGAAAAGACTCATTTTTTACATGTTTGGCACACTACATTGGATCAAAAAATTTACTCTTGCTTTTAGATTCGTAATCAGCTGCCAAAAAGATCTCCGCCAACTAATTTTGAAGACCTAAAGCACATTCTTTTATTTCTTGGTCTTCTGTATTGGATCAAACATTTTGAATTTTGAAAATTTGATATTTGATTCGTAATTAACGATCCTAAAAACCGTCGAGTAATGATTTTCATGATATTTTATCCACTTTTTAACATGTTTGTCCACCATTTTGGATCCGTCATTTTGAATTTCGACAATCTGAGATCAGATTCATAATCAGCGAACCAAAAAACACTAGATACTAGGTTTCATACAAATACTATAATTTTCTAAAATTTGTCCGTCATATTGGATCCGCCATTTAAAATTTTGAAAATCTGGCTTCGGATTCGTAATCAGCGATTACCAAAACCCCAAAGGTACATTTATCTGTGAAATTAATTTGATAGAGAAATGTATGTCGCAAACGGTTAAGCGTGGTCTACAATGAGAACATAAGACATAAAATTTAGAGTGGCATTCAGTTGGACACAGTACAATTGGACACGTTGCAAATGGACACGGTGCAAATGGACACGGCACTTGACACACGGTTCAATTGGACACTGTGCGTTTGGACACGAAACTTTTGGGCATCGTTGTTTTTGGACACGAAAGAAAATGCACGACATTCAGTTACACACCGTTCATTTGGACACCGTTCAGTTGGACACAGTTCAAGTGCCCACTGTTCACTTGGACACAGAAGGATGCTCACTGTTCACTTGGACACCGTTCACTTGGACACCGTTCATTTGGACACCGTTCACTTGGACACCGTTCACTTGGACACCGTTCACTTGGACACCGTTCAGTTGCCCACTGTTCACTTGGACACAGAACGATGCGTGCTGTTCATTTGTACACTGTTCACTTGGACACCGTGGAATTGCTTGTCTGTTCACTTGGCCACAGAAAAATGCGCACTGTTCACTTGGACACCGTTCATTTAGACACTGTTCACTTGGACACCGTTCATTTGGACACAGTTCACTTGGACACCGTTCAATTGGACACCGTTCATTTGGACACCGTTCAATCGCCCACTGTTCACTTGGACACAGAAGGATGCGCACTGTTCATTTGGACACCGTTCACTTGGACATCGTTCAGTTGCTTGCTGTTTATTTGGACACAGAATGATGTGCACCGTTTATTTTATCATCATTTAATTATGTATCGTTTGTTTATGCAATGGATATGCAACTGATGAGAAATAAAAAATAGTTTTGTAAACAATATTTGTGTTTTTATTTTTTTTTTATCACATCC